TCTATTCTTTTCAAAAAGTATCAATATTAACTGAAGGATTTTAACACATTTGATGTGCCATCTTTGGCTGGTAGCTTGCCCCTTTGTCTTTTTGCCCAGGTCTTGATAGTCTGTGTAGATGCTTATCTCTGGAGCCCAGAGACAGTCTCCTAGACCGGAGCTAGATCCCAAGGAACCTGGTTCCCCTTAGTGGGACATGGTACGTAGAGGCTGTAATCTGGCTCATTAAATACTTGAAAGTAGATTTGATATACCTCATTATGAAGTTGTTTTCATTTTGGTGAATTTCTAAGATGATCCTCTACATGTCAAAAAGATAAACACAAATGTTTGTAGATTGTCAGCTGCATTGGTCAACACCTTCAGGTCTTAAGTGAACAAATCCCAAGTTTAACATACACAGAGGGAGTTTATTGTTCCAAACATTTAGGAGCAGAGGGATAAGGCTGGAAACAGTAGAAACAAGAACAAGAGCCAGGGGTACCTGGAGTCTCTACTCTGTCCATCTCTCTCTGCGTCTTTATGGATGTCAGTATTACTCTTGTGCTGCAGGATAGACTCTATGAGTTGAGTCCTTAAAATTCAGGTAAAGTTTTCATTTTCTTCCAGAGTTGTTCCTGCCTTGTTATTGTAGAAAATTTCAAATATACATATAAAAATAGAAACTAGTATTTGAACTTCCATAAACTCATAAGCTGGCTTTCCCTGTTAACAAGAAATGGTCAGTCTTGATTCATCTGTGTGAGCCTTTCTCTATCTTTTTACCCTGGACAAATTGTTGACATAATTTTCAGATCTCAGAGGACCTCTGACTGAGAATAACTATCTTCAGTTCATTGTATGTGTTCAGTAAGTAGTAGACACAAAGTCAAACAATTACTGTCAGTATCTTTTTAAGTAGATGTGTTAGTCAGCTTTCCTTTACTGTAACAAATACCTAAGACAATTCACTTACGAAAAGGAAGCTTTTGTTTTGGCTCACAGTTTGGAGGTCTTATAGTCTGTGAGTGTTTGGCCCTTTGCTTTGGCTTGTGGCAGCATAGTACATCATGGCAGGAGTGCAGCCTGGTCACCTCATTGTGGCTGGGACGCCAAGAGAGACAGAAAGAAACCAGTGTCTCTTTGTCCCTTTTATCCACCACCCCCATAACCTGAAAGCTCCCACTAGGCTTTACCTCTTAAAGGTTCCACCACCTTCCAGCAATGCCATGCTTTGGACTAAGCCTAAAGGGACCCTGGGGACATTCCAGATTGAAATCCAGCAATAGAGAATGGTGGTTTTTCCCCAAGGATCTGTTTATTATGGCCAGTGTATTAGCATATTTTTGTGTGATTTCCCCTTTTGTGAAGGAGACCTGCCATAATGTGAGCCAGTGGTGGTATTATCTTTTCCAAGTAAGCTAGATGTTCTATCACAACTTTTTACCTACATCTTGATGTGTGTTGTATTATGCCAAGAATACTTTATTTATTCATTTATTTTGTGATGTCCAGAGTTGAACCCTAGGGCTTTGTGCATACTAGGCAGGTGCTCTACCACTGAGCTACACACCCAGCCCTCTTTTCTTGTTTAAAGCTAAAAATAGAAGTTCTGTTTACAGCCAAAAGGGAGTAATAGGAACCAGATTTACTCTGTTACTTGAAGTACCCCAAAATTTTTTAATGTATACAAATCAACAGCTCTGGCAGCACAGGGAGGATAAATGCAGGCAGAGCCATGTGGTCTCAAGTAAAGGAGATGGAGCTAGGAGTCTGAAGTCCAAGTTACTGGGAGGAGAGAGCTTCAGAGGGTCCCTGTTGAGTGGTGATGATCAGCACACACATGTGAAGAAACTACCCAAGCTGGGCAAGGACACCAGAAAGAAGCAGCAAGAATAGCCCTCAGTGACCACGGAGGCTGGGAGTAGTTTGTGTTCCTGCCAGGCAGAGTGGAGAACTTTGTAATAACAGGGCAGCAGTTGAGCAGTCAGAAATGTGTTGCCTCAGCTCTGGAGCCCAAAAAGTGGCTCTAGTCCCACCTAGTAGAGCCAGAAACCTTCCAGTGATCAGTAAGCTTAAGTTACTGTTTTCAAGTAACTTAAATACATCCCTAACAAAACTCAGTAATTTAGCAACACAAAAATATCCAGTGTCCAGTTAAAAATTAGCAGGATATAAAGAATCAAGAAAATGTAACCTATAAGGAGGAGAAAAATCTATCAACAGAAGTAGATCCAGAAGTGACAAAGAAGCTAGAATTAGTAGGCAGGGACATTAAAATAGTAACTACAGTCCATATATTGAATATTCCATTTATCTGACCATGTCAGATAAAGGCATGAGATACACACAGAAGACTCACATTGGAACCTAAAAGCTAAAAAATACAACGCTCACAATGAAAAGTGCAGAGGGTGGGATTAGCTACAGAACAGACACTGTAGAAGAGAGGACTAGTGAATTTGTGAAGGCAAGTAGTAGAAACTCTCCAGTATGACACAGAAAAAAGACTAGACTTGGGGCAGGGAGGATGCTAGAGCATCAGCAAGCTGAGGAGCAACCTCAGGCAGTTGGAGGTCCTGAGGAGAGGGAGGCAGGTGGCACAGAGAAGTATTTGAAGAAATAAGGGCCAAAACCTTTCCCAGTTTGATGAAAACTATATCCCCTCTCCCAGACAGAAGAACTTTAATGAACCTCAAGTACAAAAAATATGGGGGAAAACCTAAACCAAGGCACATGACAGCCCAAATCCTGAAAAATAGTAATAAATGTAAAAATGACTTTTTAGCCAACCTTTCTTCAAAAAAGATACCTAAGCTTAGCTTACCTTTCTTGAAATTATTATCTGTCTTATTTTACATAAGAGTCTTAAACTCATAAGACAAACATAATAAATTTATATTAAATAACCAACTTTAAGTCCAAATTGGATTTAATTTTTCTAAAGTTGGGCTTAGCAGGTTTTATTTAAATAAGTATTGCTGTGTACAGTGGCTCATGCCTGTAATCCCAGCTACTCAGGAGGCAAAAATCAGGAGGATGGAGGTTTTTGAGGCCAGTCCTGGCAAAACATTAGTGAGGCCAAATATCAACCAGCAAGGCAGGGTGGCAGCACACACCTGTGGTCTCAGCTAGGAGGAGACTATGGGCAGAAGGATCAGAGTCCAAGGCTAGCCCTGGGTGAAAGTAAGATCTGCCTAAAAATAACCTAACGAAAAGAAGGCTGGATATGTAGCTCAAGTGGTAGAATGCTTGCCTAGCAAGCACAGGCTCTGTGCCTTCAAAAACAAACAAACAAAAAAGCGTTGTGCATCTATTTTAATTTATTGACAGTACTGAATATTAAACTAAAACTATAAATCAAATTAGTATTAATAAAAATATACTCTAAAACACAGTTTTTCCCAATTGAAATGATCAGGTTCAAATACTGTTAGGGCTATAACAGTTTCACAGTTACAATGTATAGGTGTTGATTTCTTGAAATGGTAGAATAAAATATACCCTAGTAATAGGAATAGTTTTGTTTTTTTTTTGTTTGTTTGTTTTTACTGCACATATATTCAGTTCTGGGTTATGCTTGAGATAAGCACACATTGATTTTGGTTTTGACTGACATAAGGCTTTCCCTCCTTGGTCTGGATGCTTATTAAACATGACAGAGCCAGTTCACACCTGGAAGAAATAAAAAGGGAGCCAGGTGACTCACATCTGTAATCTTAGCTTCTCAGGAGGCTGAGATCAGAAGAATGGTGGGCTCAAGGCCAGCCCACGCAAATAGTTCATGAGACCCCCATCTCCAAAATAATCAGAGCAAAATGGGCTGGAGGTGTGGCTCAGCAGTAGAGTACCTGCTTTGCAAGTGCAAAGCCCTGAGTTCAAACCCCAGTCCCACCAAAAAAAAAAAAAAAAAATGGAGAAGTGGCAAACTGCCCATTGCATTCCTGTGAATGAGAGGACGCCATTCTCTGTCGTAGAATGGCAAACACCTTGGAGACAGATTAGGAAATCTCTCTTAAGTGTAAAATCAGACCTCAATCCGCTCAAGTCTTCCACTTCTCCAAAGTCAGGTTCTCAGGCACTGCATCAGATTTGGAGAAAGTGCCCTTTACCAAGTCCTGGACCTGTGTGTGCATGTGTGTGTAAAATGTGGTGTATGTACCAAACTATTCACAAGGAATAGGAATGTTACAGAGACAAGGAGCTGTTAGCATGTCCCGCCATCCTAGATACCTCTCCGTGTCACAAGCCTCCTCACCACCCTCAAACCTAGCAGAAATGACTACAAAAGTATTGCTCTAATACATTTTCTTGCCCCCTACTGGACTATGTACACCCCTAGCAGAGACCACTGTTTTCAGGGTAAATAACAACAACAAAAATTTTAGAGATACAGCATCCAGCCTCTGTGTCACAGTCCCCCCTCTGCCTCAAGTTTTCTGTTGTTAGTGGTCTAGGCAGGGTCAGTGTTTCTGAAAAACAGAAGAGGAGAGAGAGGTTCCTCAGGCCTGGGTGGGCCTAGCTTGCAGCCAGGGTTGGAAGCCACTGTTGAAAGCTTGGTTTTCCATGTTTTGAGGCAGGTGGCTCAGGCCGCTGTTCCCTAATGGCACTTTTCCCACTGGAAAACTTCAGATCGTAAATACAGCCTCCTCAGTCAGTCTTTGAAACTACACCAAACACGGGAAGGAATTCTAAGCCCACAGGCTTCCGTGCGGCAGGTCAGTGACATGGTCCCTTCTCCTTGCAGTGAGTGCTGCACGGAGCTGCTGGACATGGTGGATAACTACGCTGTGCTCCAGCTGGACATAGTGTGGTGCTACTTCCGCCTGGAACAGCTGGAATGCCTTGACGACGCAGAGAAAAAGCTAAACTTGGCCCAGAAGTGCTTTAAAAATTGTTACGGAGAAAACCATCAGAGACTGGTCCACATCAAAGTATGTCACTGTCACTTGTCTCATGTCACCCATTTCTAGGACTTGTTTTTATTCCTGTTAGTGTGTTTAGACTGCTGCCAGAGGTGAGTTTGTCTTGGGAGTGGTCTGCACTCCCAAGTGCTCTTTGTATGCTAGACTTTTAGCAAGCACTAATTGCTTTGTGAATCTGGATGTCTCTTGGTGCATATTCAGCTCAGAGGAACAATTTGCTAGTCATAGACTCCCATCCTCCTGAAATCGATCACTTATCTACACTCAGTAGTAGCAACCTAGGTGGTGGAGACAATTGTCCTGACCTCAGTTTTCTCCCGTGTGGCAGGCAAGGGGAAGGGAAGTAGTCACTGAGGTTTGTCATCAGTAGTGACACTGTGAACACTTTAGTACTACCATTTGCTCTGTGTGACAAAGGGAATTACAAATGTGACCACTGTGCACCTGTAGAAGCAAGACAGCTTTATCCTTTTTCCCCAATAACTTCAGGGAAACTGTGGCAAGGAGAAGGTGTTGTTTTTGAGACTCTACTTGCTTCAGGGAATCCGAAACTACCACAGTGGAAATGGAGAAGAGGCCCGCGAGTATCTCAGCAAGGTAAGAAAGGCGGGAGCTGTTCCCACCTGCTTCTGTTCTGGTCCCCACAAGTGGAGAACTTTACACATCCCATAGTTTGTGACTTGTGAGAAACATGCGTCTCCCTCCTGTTCCTTTCCTTTCTGTGTACCACACACGTATTTGTGTTTGTTAGGGTGCAGGTAAGATGCTGTAATAAGGGCACTTCAGAAAGAACAGTGACTTCAGTTGACTAGAAGCTTCCACCTCTCATCTAGTAGTCTTGAGATGAGCAGGCCAGGCCAGGGCGTACCACTGGGCAGCCCAGGTTGCTCCTCTCAGTGCCTGTACTGCCAGCAGAGGGTGCCAGAGAGTCACAGCAGGCCCTAAATAGAGGAAGGAGAAGTGGCACCCACCATTTGGCTTACATGCCCCTGACCTAGACAACCACCTGACCACACCTTGCTGTAAGCAGGAGTGAGGAATCCCATGAGTACAGCATCAAAAACTCGATGAAATCTTCAAACTTGAAGACAGCTCAAATTCAGGGAATTTTATTACAAAAAAGAAGAGGATAGTGGATCACTCACTTCCACAATACCTTGCCTGTTTGCTCGTGCTGTGTAATGGATAAGTTGTGCAAGCAAAGATAGAGGTGTCTCTTTTTTTTTTTTTTTTTTTTCCGGTGCTGGGGACCGAACTCAGGGCCTTACACTTGCCAGGCAAGCGCTCTTCCACTGAGCTAAATCCCCAACCCTGAGGTGTCTCTTTCCATTGGTGATCAGAGATTAAGTTTAGAGTTCCCATGTAAAATCGGACAAAAAGTAATTCATGTTGAGTCTGATGTGATTTCTTCTAGGCTTCAGCTGTGTGTTAACCTTTGCTGTTGCTGTAGTTACAAGACTTGTATCTCTGTTTGTAGGCTCGTCAGCTCTTTAAAGAGCTGTGTATTGATCCGGCAAAAGTTCATAACTTAATGCAGCTGGGGTTCACTGCCCAGGAAGCCCGGCTCGGCCTGCGGGCGTGTGACGGGAACGTGGACCATGCGGCCACCCACATTTCCAATCGCAGAGAGGTACCACTTCAGTTGCACCTGCTTGAGGCCTGTGCCTTTGAGGAGATTGTGAAGGGTGGGGGCAACAGGAGGCCTGTCTCTGAATTGCCTTGGCTCCCTTTGGTAGGAAAGAACAGAGAAGATAATCCCATAAGAGGCATTAATGACAAAGGAACACTTTATCACTCCAGATCCGAAGGAAGGAGTTACTTGTCTTTGAATTACATCGACTGTCAGACAGCTCAACTTTCTGCCATTGTGGCAGGTTATTTAAGCAGTCTTCCTCTCTCAATCTCTGTCCATCCCACAGCACCACAGTGTATTTCTGGAACCATTTTAAAGGAGGCTGTGTTTTCCCACAGGGCCATTGTGATAGTTTGGGATTGCATTCTTACCTAGAAACATGAGTCAAACTACAGGAACAGTAGTAGTGTATTATGAAAACGCAGGTTAAAAAAACTACCTTCGCTTAAAACAAGTACATTAAAGAAAGCTTTAAGCCTGGTGCTGGTGGCTCACACCTGAAATCCTAACTACTCAGGAGGCAGAGATGAGGAGGGTCGTGGTTTGAAGCCAACCCTGGGCAGGAGCAGATCTGAGGTGCATGCTGCTTCCCCATGCTCACTGCTGCCCAAATTGGTGTGACTGTGACCCAGTCACTTAGTGTTCTTGGAAGATTTCTGTGTCTTCATTGGCAAAATGATGGCGTTGGATTAAATTAGTGAGTTTCAAACTTGATTGATTGATTGCATTGCTGGGGATCAAACCGGGGGCCTTGCACCAGCTAAGCAGTGCTCTACACAGAGCTACATCCCCACTTCCAACCTTGCTTTTTAGCATTAAAACCTCTCTTTGAAAAATGACATTTTTTATGGGCATCTCCATCTACAAAATATATGTAGAAGTCTCCCAGTGTGGGGCCTGGTTGAGGGAGAAGGGAAGAGACTAGAGCCGTCTGTGACCAGGTTAGGCCCCTGCAGCTGCCCCAGGCCCATCTGAAGAGCAGGTGCACTGCTGTAGGGCTGGGTATACCACAGAGCACTCTGGGTTCCAGTGGACCCTGGCCACAGTATGCTGGGGCTTCAGCAGCATTGGCACTGCTCAGGAGCCCCCACCCCCAGTTAAGTCACAGTTCACATTTTAGCCTGAATCCTGGGGCGCTTCACCAGAAGCCAGGACACCTTCCGACCCAAGACAGGAAGTTCTTCTGTCCTCTCATAAAGGGTCCTGCCAGTTCCCTGGGGGCCTCCAGCACTGAGTGTTCCCTGGCTCCTAGTGCTGGATGGTAGGGCTCTGAGGTGTCTTCACTTCCACTGCTGGCCTCAGAGCCAGCCACAGCCCCTGCCCCTGTGGCTCCTGCTGTCAGACTGGGCAAGGACAGGCAGAGAGGCCCCCTCTGTTTGGTGGTTCACCTGGCCTGGAGACCTGAAGAACCCTCCAGAGCACAGCCCAAGATGCTTTCTGCCACGTCTATGATTCAGTAGGCCTCGCTGTTTTCCTAAAGGAACTGGCCCAGATAAGGAGAGAGGAGAAAGAGAAAGAAGCGCCGCCGTCTGGAGAGCATCAACTCTCTGAGAGGAATGGGGTACTCCATGCATGCGGCCAAGCAGGCCCTCCAGCAGGCCAGCGGGAACCTGGACGAAGCCCTGAAGGTGATGTCTCCGGCATGCTCTGCAGCCCTGCTTACACACTCCCCAGGGTCCTTCCCATATTAGAGCCCAGCCCTGCAATTCCCAGTTTGGATCCGAGGGTTGGGTCTGCTGCCCTTCAACCAATCTCAGGCTCAGTGTCAGGCTGCCTGGCCATGGGAGGGGCACCTGCTCAGGTCGGCACGCCACGGCCAGGTGTTGGTGTCGAGGTTCTGTCTGCAGCAGAGTTTAATGTCCATGGAGGTTGCTTCTAGAGTGGAAAAAGAGAGTGGCAAAGTTCCAGTATGTTTTTGAATTACAATTTTAATTTGAGTATCTGATTTTATTTAGTGCCTCTTGGCAAAGGGGCTTTTAAAAGAAATCGCCAGAAATGACAGACCAGTAGTAACCTCACTGGGGTCCATCTCCTCTCCCGCTGTTGTTTTTGGGGATTTTGGCCGTACTTGAGTTTGAACTCA